CCTGCTGACCTTTTTTATTGTGTTCTGCAGTAAAAGCTGAGGTTGTACAGGGAGAAAGAGGCCAGGACGCTCTCACTCCTGCACTCCTTCAGAAAAACAAGCTGCCTTGTAAGGCCTGGGTTGCAAAGCAAAAGGTAGCAATCTTCTTAGATCTTAAACTGTTGATGCTGTGCTCTGGGACCCTCTGGTACTGTAGGATAGTGATCATCACAGAACAGCAGTGTTCATACCTTAAACTGCTAGACATTAGGGGTAAGGTTGAACTCTTGCATTTGCTTTAGCACTCAGCAGCAGACTGGAGATTGAGGGGCTTGTACTGCCAAATATATACAATACTAGCTGCAACTTAATTCATGGCATTCCTTCTGCTGGGACTATGAGTAATGTGAACCATCAACCACATCAGAAATACTAGAAGAAAAATTTCTTCTTGGCTTGCTGGCTGGTTCGTGGCAGTAAATTTGGGTGTTTATTCAATTTGAAGTGAAGTATCATCTTTCTTTTGGGGAAGGGTTAACTGTTTCTGCAAATTTTGCGATGCAAGCAGAGGTAACAAAGTTTTTGGAAATAATGCCAGTGGAACCTTACCATCCAGATTTTTTACCACCTTCAACCTAGTTTTCTGCCTCTATTTGGAGAAGAAATTATGAACAGGATATTTCAAAAAGTGCTTGTCATTAAAGCTATACAATGTCTCAGTAGAACAAATCTTTCCTCATCTTTAATTCTTACCTTTCCTCTTTCCTTTCTTCCTCTCTCATCCCTCCATCCCCTGAATCTAGTAATAATGATGGTAGGTCTTAGTCTACTTTGTATTGTAAGGAAAGACTGAAGTACTGGATCAAAGGCAGCTTAAAATCTTCATTGGAAGGTTCAAAGTCAGGATTTTGTTGCAAAGTGTTGTTGGCTTGTCCCTAGAACGGTGTAACCAGTATGCTGTTACCAGTCTTCAGGTTGCTGTATTTCCATGTTGAAGTTTTAGTCAGATTCCAGAAAATATTTGCAGTTCCAAGTGGGAAGTTTGGTCGATACAAAGTAGCTTGGCAGCAGCAAAGGTGTGCAGAGGCCAGCTTTTCTATCAGGATCAATATACTGACAGATTACCTCTGTGTAAGGCTTGCACTGGAGCGTAAGGAGACCTTAAGTGATTGTGTTCTTTAGCAAGCACTCTCTTCAAGGGAGCTTTTCCCATTCCCAGACTTTACTTAAAGAGAAGAAGAAAAGCCACTGCCTCTCTTTGGAAAAGGAGGACAGCATTCATTTTAGATGCATTCCTGATCCTCTAACCCTCAGTAATTTTCTGTGCAATTTTTCTAGTTCTTTTAATATCGCAAGATACAGGTAGTTCCAGCAAGACTCAGACCAGATAATATAGATAGTCCTGTCCTGGACAAGGTAACTCAGAAGGACAAGGTCTCGGAAGTTTCTTGGTAAAGCTACCTTAAGACCATGCTGTCTGAATATAATACAGCAGGACTGTAAGCAGAAATTTATGTCCAGGTCATGTGGTCACCGTGCCAAAGTAATTGAAGGGCTGATGAGATTACTATCTGTCAGTGGTTCAGAATAACCTCATTCAAAAAATGCAAGACTGTGCCAGGTACTAGGCATGTTTACTTGAGTGCAGTAGAAACTAGTACAATATGGGTGAGTCAGTTCCAGCTTTCACCTACTAAGTTACGAGATACTCTGTTATTCTTTCCTTTGGATCTGGTAGTCTGTCAGAGCTGTCTTGTGAAGACTTGCTGTAGGCAATCTCTGCTGCGAAATGGGTCTAACCTTTGCTAACTCTTATGTGTTTTATATAATGCTTTATGAAGTAAAAGATAACAAAAATAATATTATAACTTTTATGCCAAAGCGACTAAATAATCTATGTAATTTTTAACACTTTCTATGTGTACTGAATGACCTTTTTCTTCCTCTTCTGCACTAAGCAAAATTTTGACTTTAAATTTGGATTTATGGAGGAGGATTTCAGGAATATGTTAACTTTTTAGGATAATCATTGGAAACTCAGAAACTAAGCAGAAAAAACTTAGTGTGTTTGGAAATTAGGTTGGGGCTATTATATATGATCCAGTGAAGGTGAGAGAAGGATTTACTCAAACTAAAAAGTAAAGGTTAACGATACTAGAGTTAGCCATTCGATTATTCTTTGGGCCCTGCTTTTGATTACAGACAGTATCGGAGCTGAAAATCTATTCCAAATGTATAAATAAGTTTATATACTTTCGGTATAACGTTGGCACTCTGATGCTTTTTATTTTGTATCTGAACATTATCTGTTTGGGTCCTTCTTCAGCTTGTTAGACTAAAGGACTGGAAACGCAGGGGTGTATGGTGGGGGAACAAGCCTGTATTTGATACTATCCAGAAATTCCTAGCAACAGCCTTCATTACTTTAGCTTTCCTACCTTGAGACTGAAGATGATCATGGAAGACCAAGTCATGGTATGACCAAAATATGAAGCCTCTTTTAACAAACTTAAAATTATAGGCAGAGATGTTAAAATCTTGCCAGTCTTGCCAGACTTACTTTGTTTACACAGTTTATCTCTGTTTTGCTATGATGACTAGCTGGGTGGGTTTTTAAATTATTTTTCTTAAATTGGAGTTGGTCAATTGGTGAGTCAAATTGAGACTTGAACTTGGACAGCATCTTGCAAGGCAGACAGTGTATATCATTGTGCTTATCTGTAGGTCCAGTAGACGTGTTGCTCTTTCCAAGTCTAAATCTTCTCTTCTGTCCCTTCATTTGTTTTTATCTATGTTGATCATTTAATCATCGTAAATTATTTTTCTCCAGAAATTTGCAAGTTATTCTCATCTAAAATGACACTAACTGTGGATAAGTACTATTTCTTTTACACTTCATTTGTATGAATTAATGTATTTATTATTAGGCATCTGAATGTTTGGACTTCTATTTCACAGAGTTAGTGGGGAAAAAATAAGAATTGGAGCCAATTTCATATTCAACAACCTTGCAAAGTACAGTTCACTACATCTTGTGCGTGTTCTTCAAAGGGGTAAAGAATAGCAAGTGCTATATTGATTGATTTTGTTTTGTCACAGACTCCACCTTCAAGCATTTTGTAAATGCCAGGAGGACCGACAATGATGATGAAATGCATAGCTGTAAATCTCCTAGTTCATCCACATAACTTCTTCACCTTCCCTTACTGATGAAATTAGATGACGGTTGAACTCTTCCTGATAAAGCAATACAACTTTTGATTACAAATTGCCACCCTAGGAGAAGCTAGTTCTGTTGCTTAATAGCAAAATGCAACATTATTTAAAGAAAATCTCAGTAGTTTAACTCTGTTCATGAAGTCTGTCCATAAATGTACCATGCTATTTAAAGTATATTGTCTATGGCAAAAACCCTGTCTTTGTTTTTTTAAGGGAGTGAGTTTTGTTTTGGTAGCACACCAGACCTGGGTGGTTATTATCCTAGGAAGAGGTGTAAGAAAACAGTTACTGTTATGTTAAAACTGAAGAAATATTTTCCATGGGGGAAAACATCTAGTTCTCGGTAGCTGATAGCTGTAAAAGGGAAGTACGCTTCGGGGAAAAAAAACATGTAACTTGGTAAGCATTTATTTTGAAGTGTAGATGCATTGCCTTATGATTCCTGTTATTTTCAGAATGTTGTTGGTGAGGGTGGTTTTTTTTGAATTGGTATTTCAGAAAAATATTCTACCTGTCTTTTACTCATTTTGAGATGCAATCCGTAGCTCTGTGGCTACTATTTTTATACATTTTATTTAACTTTGTCTTTTGGACTCCTTCCTCATCATCTTTTTCTCCTTTTTCCTGCCTTCCTGTTGCCATCACAAGTACTGAGAGTATTAAGGAGATGATTTTCTGAGGGATAGGGATGTATCATTTCTTGTCTCCCTCTTTGTTTTTCCCTTCTCATGTCCCATCTCCCCGCTAAGAAAACCAACATCCCTGATCCCTTTTCCTGTTCCTTGCAGGAACTGGCTTTGATGCTGATCTAAATCTAATGGCAGAAAAGTTGGCAGAAGTGAATAGGTCCTCTTTGGTACCAGTGGAAGTTACAGCCTGTATTAAATATGGCTGGGTATTTTCAAGAGGTCCATTGTGTATGTGTATAAATATATTAAACGTGTATAATATTAGACTGATATTTTGTGATTGTAGTTAACGTTTTAATTTTTTTAAATTTTTAAAAATATTTTTAGGGAGAAGAAAGCCATAATTGATCCTTTTTTGTTCAAATACAAAGTCCAGCCAATTAAAAAAGAACTATATGAAGCTGTTATCGTTAAGGCATCTCAACTAAGGTAAAAATTAGTATATGAAAGTTAAAATTGTACTTTATAACTGTGTGAGTTGTGTAAGTCACTGTAAGATGTTTTCGATATAAAATTGCATTTTAAAATAATACGTTAGAACTACTAATTAGAGCCACTGGAACAAAACACTGTCTTTCACGGGCTTTCTGTAGCAAGGGTTCCAAGCTTTACTAGTATTAACACCGATACCTACTCGTTAAAAGTCTCTGTGCTTTTGTTGGCACACAGATGAGACCAGCTGTTAGTTCTGATACCTGTGCCTACTGCTATGACTGATGGAGTAGGTGAAAAAAAATTTGAGAACCCTATGCTATGATATTGATGAACTATTGGTATTGTGAGCTCTCTCTGTGTGGTAGTATTACTGGTTTGAAATGTTGGAGCCGACATTGGCAATCAAACTGCTTTAAAATAGAAAGCTGCAAAAAGTTTTTGCTTCTTAAATTCAAGACAAAATTATGTTATTTAGTTAAAACATTTTTTTAGAGTAGGTTGTTCATCAAAACTTTATGAACTGGATACTTTGGGAAAAAAAACTTCAGTGGTTTCAAGTCATTTAGTTCCAGCATGAATCAAGATTAGTTTTTTCATTAACTACTCCTGTGTAGTTGGTTTTCTCCTTCCCATGAAGTACTGCGGGTTCCCTGGGATGCCAGGAAGCTTTCAGAGCACACACTATCCTGTAGTGAGGAGTGCCACAGCCTGACCAAGCGGTGTGTGAATTCACTCCTCTCGCTTGTTGGCTTCTGTGCCTTGCCTCCCCTTTTGAGAGATGTGAATGCTGCTTTCCTGCTGGCCTTGTTTGTTTGTTTCAGAGGGGGGTGAACACAATCGGACTTTAGTTTTATTTGGGAATTTTAAAAGCTGCTGTGATAGAAAAGAATGTTTGGAGGATCTAGCGGGGATGAACGGGCTGTGGAGTTCGCCTGTATGTGTCTATAAAAGAGGACATACCAGCATCTTCAAAACAAAAATTACAGATGCCTAAAAAACTGTTTAAGTATTACTTGGGTTTTGTTCTGTTCATAAGGAAATTTTTAATTGAATTGGGGTTGCAAAGAAGGGCTGTTAGTTACATTAGTAAGGGTGTAATGTATAATTACGAGAATGAGAAAAAGGTCAATCATATGATCTGTTACATGTGTTCTTGCACATATTGTCAGCTGTACTTAAAAAATAATTGAAGATGTTAGTTGATAAATGCTACTTTTCTTTCCTAATACAGCCGGAGGAAACATCTCTTTTCTCGTGATAGACTTAAACTTTTTCTGAAACAACACTGTGAACCACATGATGGAGTCATTAAAACTAAGGTAAATAAGAAGGAATAATTTGTGGGATAGAATATTGACCCTACTCAGTCTTTTTTTTTGCTCTTCTCCACTAGCTGCTCAGAGCTTCTTTTTTTAAACTACATCAAGTTTAGCTTTTTGTAAGTATAATATATTGAGTTAGTATTTGACTTTTTCAAAATAAAAGGATGAATACTGCAACTTTTTCTGCAAAAACAGATTTTTGTTAACTTTTGCTTGTATACAAGATGGTAGTTTTTCTGTACGTGAAGCAGAATTTAATTTTCTAATTTCTTCTTTAGCTACCAGTTTAGAAAAGTCCCCAAAATAAAAATGGGTGCTTTTATCTAGAAAAATGTTATTTATTAAAACATTATATATTTTTGCTTAGTCTGACACTTGAGTTGTTTTCATTCTTCAAGGTATGCAGCTGGTATTTTTGAGTCAAATAAAAATTAACTATTTCTGTTTTGGTACAGCAAGCTAATATTATTCTGTTGTAATGCTTTTAGCTGGAAAATATTTTATTGTGGATTGAATTCAGTCTCCAGTTCTTCAGAGAAACAGAAGTACTGAAGAGTTCAGGTGGCTGGAATGGGCTTTTGATGAGGCCTTAGATGTTGAAGATGTTAAGATGCATATCTTTGTCATCTTATGTGGAGATGTAGGGTGATAGTTAATACAAGTTCAGACTAAAGTTCACATCTTGGTCGGTACAGGATGACTCTGAGAATTTCTGTTTCCTTGTGTTCAAGGAATTGAGCAGCTTTTTCCGCGCTTACCAAATAGGCAGCGATTTTCCTTGCCTTGCTTGCTATGCCGTAGGAGATCCTGGACTCTTTCACTGCATATTATTGCAGCCTTGACCCTGAAATCCTTCTTATCTTCATCTGGTTGGTTGTTTGTTTGTGTGGGTTTTTTTTGTTTGTGGGTTTTTTTTGTTTGGGTGTTTTTTTTGTTGTTTTTTTTGTTTTTGAAAGTAGCATGTTCATTTATTACATCTTGTATTTTGTGTGTGCGTTTAAGAGGAATCCTCATGCAGCTGTGTAACTGCTCGTTCTGCACAGGAAAGCTCTGAGATGAGAGCATCAATGAGAGTCTTGCCTCTGAAAGTTGTGGAAAATAACAACGGCAACTAGTTTCTAAATAAGTTTGTAACTTTAAAGTCTGTCTTTTTTAAAGAAATGGAAATAGAAGAAAATAGAGCTGAAAGGGATAAACCACTCCCTTCCTGGGGCTTGTTTGTGATCATGTTGTCCTTGATGTGATACAGTGTGCTGGGTCTAGTGATCTATTAGCGATGCTTTCTGGTGCCTCAGGAAAATTGTTATATTCTGTATATGTGTGCATTTGTCATCTTCTCTTTGTTTGGGCTTTTTGTGGAGTGTCTCTTTGTTCCCTTGCTGATTGCCTTGCGTTTCAGCAGTTACGCGAACATGTCCGATTTGGAATGTCTCCTTTGTATCCTCATCTGTATCACTTGATAAGGACAGACCCCCTGAAGTCACCAGATTGAGAAAGCAGACTTGAAAAGAAACTTTGACAATTCAGAATGAGAGAAGTCATAAATTTTCTCCGCTTCCAGGAATGTTTAAGTATGCTAGAGAATTATGTGATTCTTCAGTAAATTGATTTTTCCGGCTTTCTCTGTCAAAAGTCATTCTCAACACATTTCAGTAACTTGCTAGGAAGACTGTGTCCAGCTGTGTTTGCTAAAACACATCTGAAGAAATAAAATCTTACCAAATGAGGCCAAATTCTACTTTCAAATGTGTGCTGCTTACGTCCACTTGGTGGATTAACTCTACAGTTATATTATTTCAGAGTTTTATTTCTTATCCTAAGCTAACCAGTTGTGAATCTAGTTACTTTTATTGTCCTTTTTTTTTGTGAATTAGTGATTCATTAATTAGCTTATATTTATGAAAAGGTAAGAATTTCACAACGAATATCTTGTTTTCATCTTTCTTACTAAGGCAACATCAATTGCAAAATATAATCTAGCAGAACAAAATTTTTCCTACTTCTTTCCTGATGACCCACCCACATTTATCTTCAGTCCTGCAAGCAGACGGCGAGGGAGACCTCCAAAGAGGGCATCTACTAGTCTTGTAAGTAATAACATTTTTAATTCCAGATGAAGACACATCAGCGTAGTCTTTAAGTTCCTCCATTTTCTCTGAACTTTCAGAACAGTTGGAACGCAAGGTTGATGTTGTGCTTTTTTTCTTTGAGGACAAATTGGGATATATTACATAATTACTGTTAAAGTAGATTGCTTTATAGTTAAGCTGGTAAAAGGGACCATACTTGATATGTTATCTTCTTATTTTTATCTTTCTTATTTCTGTGATCCCACCAAGAAACTAGCTTTTCAGTGTGTTGTGAAGGTGCATAGAGTACTTGTCCCTTCTGGGAATGATTAATAAATAATTTGCTAAAAAACTTTAGTTTGTACTCTTAGATACAATTATGTCATTTGCCCTCAGACACAGTATGTCACTTGCCTGTATTTAAACACAGCGAAGCTTAGTGCTCTAAACTACTTCATTTAAAAAGAAAGCTGGAAGGAAAAGTTTTGGGTCCTCTGTCCCAACTATTAGGTGGGATCTCTGACTACTTAAGTGTGTTTGTGGGAAACTCTTACAGCCTGGTTTTATTCTTGTATTAAAGAACTGTTGAAAAATTTGGAATATCTGTTGCTGGTCGTTTCACTGTAGATATTATGTTCTTCTTTTCCACTCCCCCTCTGAATTCTCTATCAGGAGGATGAGATTACTGCTAAACAAAATACCCAAGGAAACAAAAGTAAAGTAGCAAGGGAAAAGACAAGGTTCCAGAAGCAAAAAGAAGATATGCAGGCCATGGGTAAGTTGAGGTTTAGTCCTCTGACTAGTAGAACCAGTTTTTGCAGGTCTGAGAGCAGGCCATAATTAGAGTATTTTTGGGGTTGTACCTTTCAAAGGGAAAATGTAATAAGCGTGCACTGCCACAGCACTATTGCAAAGTGCTCCTTTCAGTGGTTAGAATAGTTGTTTCCTGAATTATTTATTTATTTTTATTTTATTAAACTGGGGAAATGTAGGAAGCTTGCAGTCCAGCTGTTTTGATTTCTATCTCAGATAAATAAAGAGCAACATAAAATTTTTGCAGAAGTTCGGATTCTGAAGTCATGTATAATTTTTACCTGCTGAAGGTATATCAAAACATGAACGTTTAACACAAATCGATCTGTTGTATGAGTAAAATCTGTGAATGGAAAAACTACCTCAAAATTTAAAAGATCTGCAATGCTTTCTAAACCTGTAATAATCCTTAAGGAAATCTTGAGTCTTCTGAAGATGTCTGTGCATAGATACTTAAGGTATGTCTAAATGTTCTGCAAGATTACTTACAGTAAGTTTACAAATTTTTCTAATTAAAAGAGCAGAAATCACTTAAGAGATTTTTATTTCTTATTTTCACTTAAGAGATTGATTTATTTTAGCTTAGTTTTGACCCTTTTCTGATCTATTTAAACTTGATTTCAAATGAAGTAAGGGGACCCACATACCTTTTGTATGGGTTTAACTAGTAAACTGGTGTGTCTTCTTGAGGAGACAAAGCTCAGACAAGGAGATGTTCTGGATTGTAAGCACTGATGTCCTTCCTAAGGAAAGGCTTTCATCTGTGGAAATATTTCAGTGAACTTCTGATTTCTACTTCTCGTTTCCATTATCATAGAATGTTTTAGGATGGCAGGGATGTCTGGAAATTATCTAGTCCAACATCTGCTTAAATAACTGCAAAGTTGTCTGAGGCTGCTTGGGGCCTTTTCTTCATAGGAGATGGGGACACTAGGGTTTAATGGGCTCCACTAAACTTGTGTGTCCACTTTTTTGCACAACTAGTATCTATTTGTTTATGTGCTGGAAATGACAGCACAGAACAAGGTAATAGCTGATCAACATCAAAGCTGCTTCCTTTCTTGTGTGGCGTTAACTACAACTTCTAGAGGGCTAGTTAAGACACATTCTGGCTTAATTTTATCTTTGTGTTATCCTATTGCACCCCAAAACCCAATGTCCTTGAAACATATCGTTTCAAACAATGAAAGAGCAATCAGCCTTGAAATAATCATAGAATCATAGAATCATTAAGGTTGGAAAAGACCTCTAAGATCGAGTCCAACCATCAACTCAACACCACCATGCCCACTAAACCATGTCCCTAAGCGCCTCATCTACACGTCTTTTAAATACTTCCAGGGATGGTGCCTCAATCACTCCCCTGGGCAGCCTGTTCCAAGGCTTGACCACTCTTTCAGTAAAGATATTTTTCCTAATGTGCACTCTAAACCTCCCTTGGCCTCCCTTGGCCTTGAGGCCATTTCCTCTCGTCCTATCA